CCTAGGCTTCGTCCGCCGCCGCCCGCCGCCGTCGGACGACCGTCTAAACCGCTGGCAGGGAGGACGGGTGCTGTCGACGCGCCGGCGACTACTCCGAGGAAGAAGAGTAACCGTGACACTGGAGATGGCAGAGCAGAGGAGAGAGAAAGAGCAGAGGAGAGCATAAAAGAATCTAATGAAGATCATGTGCTGTTAGATAGTGTAAAGATTTCATTGGACAACTACCTTTATGTTGCTGGTGGCTCTAAAATAAGGAATACACCTCAATCACTGACTGAATCAGTGGCTCTAAATCAGGGGATACACCTTGATGTTGCTGCGGCTACTTACACTGTGATTCTAAGCCCTCTACCAGCAACATCCAGTCTTTACCACACGGAAATCCAAACAGTGATGAGCCATTTAAAAGGGGATACAAGGTGGCTGACCTACCAACTTTGGATGTTAATGATTCAGCTATCTCACTTCATCCAATTTTTGAGAAAAATGAATGCCGAAGGAGGGTTACTGGTCTGATAGAGATAGAAAGTACTTCAGACTATAGGGACTTGAAGTTGGCTAAAGGATTAAAACACTATCTGGAGCCCGTCATTGTGTCAAAGGTGACTGTGGTTGAGGAATACAACTTTCAAGGTACACAACTGATACAACACAAGGGAGAGCTACACCCCAAAAGCTAGCTATTAAGGTGGGAGAACCCTTGGGTATATAAACCCATCACCATGTCCCCCATTTAACCGGTGTGGGACAATGAAATCAGTCCATATCATTCGACCCCCAATAAGGACCAACGTCCTCGTTGGTCACGGTTACATTGGTCACAGCTGGTTTCACCAGGCCACCACTTCGTGGGCCACCACTCCATATGCCAGCACTCCAGTTGGTTCTGATACCATTGATACAGCACAAGGGAGAGCCACACACCAAAAGCTAGCTATTAAGGTGGGAGAACCCTTGGGTATATAAACCCATCACCAAGTCCCCCATTTAAGTGCTGGTGTGGGACAATGAAATCAGTCCATATCATTTCCATCACCAAGTCCCACATTTAACCGGTGTGGGACAATGTAATCAGTCCATATCAACAACTCACTAGAAATTTCAAATACTTCAGACAAGGAACAAATTTTAGTTCTGACAGAATTCATGTCCTTAGGGAGGCTCAGCATAGAATCTGTGTACTGAAGAAAGGAGCATTCCATTGGCCCAATGAAGCAGGTACTAGACTTCAACCTTTAGTTTATTGGTCAGGACACATTGGTTAATTCCTTGGACAGAACAATTAAGGCAATTTACTACATGGAAATGGGGTGAAGACTTAGCCATGGGAAAGAAATTCATTCAGCTTCTCATATACAACTTCATAGCCTATGATCTTGCCAACAAATTGTAATGCCAACGGAAATCCATCAGTGCTTTAAAAGTTGCAGTGCTTGGTGGTTATAGTTTACAAGGGTGTAACAGTGAGTTTGGCATCCAGTGGTGGAGCATATTAAGCACAATCAAAAGGAATGTCAGGCCACTACAAATGACTTTTGAATACTTGGGAATAACTCATGTTTGAGAGGCGTAAAACAGAAGAGCTTGATAGGGATATTAGTACAGAATAAAAATCTCAACACATATCCATTAGTCTTGACTTTATAAGCTAATAAATTTCTCATATGGAATACAAAACGTGATTTGCCAATCAGATTTAAGCTTCATGGATTTTGGACAAAAGCATTGCAGGTCATTAGCTTGAGTGGAGGCATAGTATGTCCACTGATTTCCAGATTTTCAACCTTGAGGGCAAGGTTGTTCAATAGGGGATAATATGTTACAGTATATTTGGGAAGGTTAGTTTGAGTTGTAAGAAGTGCTTAGAGTCAGTTAGCATCTGTTAGTTTGTTGAGTGGTAGCCAGTGCGGATAAATACTCCCCCCTTCTCTGTAAAAATCATTAAGGTAATGAAATAATATCGTCTTCCTCATCTCTCTCGTCTATCTCTCCTGTTCATTTCCGCCATTAGTGGCCGTTTTGTCTTCTTCGAAGCTCTCCTAAATTTGAGTAGCTTCCTACTAGACTGTAAACAGTTTACCTCATTTGTGCTAAGTCCCGATAATAGTGTTGAGCTCCGATACCACTTCTTCGGGTACGCAACAGAAGATATGATAAAATTAGGAAGTAAAAATAAAGAGCAAAGAGGACACCAAATATTTAACGTGGTTCACCCAAAACTTTTGGGCTACGATCACAAACAAACAACACTTCTATTTCTTCTTCTACTATTACAAATAGTAGGTACAAGTGTTCAATCTCTTCTACTATTACAAAAAGTAGGCACACACTAGTGAGTACATGACATTGGTACGATGTCGAGCCTCCATCTCGAACTGGGGTAACAGCAACAACATCATTTGTTTGTTTAGTATTGATGGCCTCCATCACAGACTATTGTTTTTCAAGGTGAATTGCAAGAGAACTAGTGATCAGAGATCTGTGTTTGATTTTTTTTCTACCAGGGCTCCGATACCAATTGAGAGGAAATATCAGATCTGGAGTATATAAAACAGAGTGTTTTATTGTGGTACTTCTGTCCAGAATTATGTGTCCATACATATAAATAGAGGACTAACCAACACAACCATTACTAACAAACACAACAGTTACTAACCAACACATCTTTCAAAAATTAACACAACTGCCAGAAAACTAACTGTTTTTTTTTAAATTTAAACTAACTTCTAGACTGCAATTAATCAACAATACTTGAGTCGACACCACTGTCCACTGATGTTGGGAGCCAAACCTCTACCGAAGAATCATCAAGGCGAGAGAGCCCAAGGGCTTGGAGGTCAGAACCAATTGCGCTGAAGCCGCTGAGGGGCTTAGATCAAAGCACGGACAAGAGAACATGAGACTTAGAAACCAAGGCTCAGAATCCGAGATAAGAGCTAGAACAAGTAAGCCATAAACGGAGGCCAAGCCTATCAGAGCTGAGCAAAGCCAGGCTCTGTCCACTCATAGTCCAAATGGATAAAGACTTGGACGAAGGAGGGTAAACCAACCTAAGTCCAAGTCCTCATCCTTTCATGCTATGTTTTTTCCAACTATTGAAATTATGGTATGTGTTGCAAGGCTGATGTATAATCTCTATTACAGTGTGTCTGGAAGCGGACCAAACTATGAAGTTCATGTCTCTTTTTGTTATTTTAATAGTTTTGTCCTGTAATTTTTGTTCTTGTTTATGACATGTCTGCTACTTTTGATGAATTCTATCTCTTACATTACCATGGACATATGCTAATGATTTGAATTATAGGTTTAGTAAGTTGATCTGAATTGGATCTTAGAGTCAGTAAATTGCTGGAAGCACAATTATAATTTAAAGGACAGAGTATGAGAATGTTCGATGCGTTAATTGATTAAACTAATTTAAGCTTTCTTTGTAATAACTCTGCAGTGTTGTGATAACAGTACACAGACTGTTGTACTGTAATGGGCTCATGGGAAGTATATATGACTTGTTTCCTACATAATTTTGCATTGTGCTTTCAGGTCAGGTAAAATATATTATTTCCCAAGTCATTGGTGTGGACCCTAAGGTCCAAAAACTTCTGTTCAGAGGTAAAGAAAAAGAAGATGAAGAATATTTGTCCATGGCTGGCATAAAAGAAAATTCAAAAGTTATTCTTATGGAGGAGACAAGTATAGAGAAAAACTCTGAAGAGGCTGAGGAAAAAAGTGAAACATCAAGAGGAGTTGAAGCTGTTGAGAGAGAGTCTGAGGAGGATAGTGAAACATCAAGAGCGGGTGAAGCTTTTGAGAAACTTAATGAAGAAGTTGATGTAAAAAGTGAAGCATCAAGAGGATGTGAAGCTGTAGGGGTTGTTAGAGCAGAAGTGGACAAGCTCTCAGATCAGGTTAGGTTGATTCCTGCCATCGTCATCATTATCATCATCCTCATCGTCATCATCTTCACCACCACCAGCACCACCATCACCATCATCATCATCATCAGAATTTGTATCTTCACATTAATGTCTAATGCTAGTGTTTTTATTTTTCTAGGTCGATGCTTTACAAGTAGTTATTAATGGTGGGACCAAGGTTGATGAGAAGGATATTGTTTATTTAACTGAGATGCTGATGAGGCAGTTATTAAAATTGGATGGCATAGATGCGGAAGGAGAAGGGAAGGTGAAAAGGAAGGAGGAGGTAATGTTTTTTTCTGGGGTTTTATTATGCCGACCCCACCTAGCTGAAGAAGCCTTAGTTTTGGGTTTTTATTTAGCTTACTGATCTTAGTTAAAAGGTTTTTTTAATTAGGCAATTGGCATTCCTCACATAGGAAAGTGTAGCATTCATTTTGTCTGAAGTTTAAACTTTAAATGCCTTCTGTCATCAGCCCAATCCTTTTTCAAAAAAAACTTTCTACCCAATTATTTTTTTAACCTTTTGAAATTTGAAGTATCATATTATGGCATGTTTTTCCGTAAGAGCGTATCATACCACCTCAATCTTTTTAGTGTTTGAGTTCAATATTATTCAAGCACTCAAGGCAATCACATTTTTTTCAATTCAGATACTACTTGACACATTGTTTTTATTTATGTGTTTACTTCAACTAGAGCATGGACTAAATTTAGAGGGTTGTTCATAGGTATTGGACTATGCATCGTGCTGTAAGGAATTTCCCTGAACTTTTTTCTTGGAATGCGTGTGTAGATATTGAAATTCTGACAGACTGAAATTTTCCAAGCTTAAGTTTAAGATATACGGAATAATTAAGTCTTAATTTCGATAATATAGTCACCACAATCTTTAGCATAACAATATTATTTCATCATTCATCCAGGTGCGGAGGGTCCAGAGACTAGTCGACAACATGGATGCTCTGAAAGGAAAGAATTTGAGTCCTTCCCCTGGCGACTCAAATCCTCCCCACCTTGGTGACAACGCTAGCACCGTGTCGGTTAAAACTCAATGGGAAACCTTTGATTCTGGTGTTGGCAGCCTTAGTCCTCCACCACCTCCAAGTTCACCTCCGCACCCATCTTCTACCGTAGCAACCCACAACCGGGAAGAGTTTGAGTAGTCATTATCTAACGATACGTGACTTCATCTCTTCCCGTTGTTTGTTGAGTACGCGATCATTGAGGTGCTGAGGTCACACACTTCAGAGTATGTATAAGCATTTCCTCTCTGTGCTGTTGCATTGCCATTTATATTTATATGGTCCATGGTGTGGACTGTGGACCTTTTTGATACTAGATAAAGGTTAGAAAACACATCCTTTTCAGCTTAGTACTCATAATGCTTTTTTGGTTAAGCAGGATTCTTTTTTGTAATTTATTTCTTGGGTATTTACCCTCAAAGCAATGTTTGTTGTATTATTATGTGCAAATTTGCTGCAATTTATTTCTTGGGTATTTACCCTCAAAGAAATATCATGGAATTCGTTTTGGGGTGTAATTTTAAACTGTCAAATTGTAATACTCCGTATAAAATATGTGCAAAAAACAAATATATATTTTAAAAAAAATTAAAC